CAACAAACACCAGCTAAAAAAAATTTCAGATATGTGTCTAAAGTAAAAAGTTTTAAATATTTAGAAGTTTTCAATAAAATAAGTTAATTGTAAGTATGATTAAAAGATGATTTTATATAAAATGCTGCCACTGTGCGCGATACGCAAGTTTTTGTTCATAGGCTAAACAGTACTAATCATTATTGTATACGTTGTGTGCATAGCGGCAGCTATTTACTATGTAATCAAAACAGCATAAACAGCGTTAACAGTGTGTACATGTAAAGGCGCGCAGGCCTAATTGGATGTAAATTTTATTGTATACGTTGTATGCATTATGGCAGCATTGTTTAGTAAGTGTTCTCACATTTAGAGTACAAACATTAGCCAGTGTAGATGTATCGGGCGTAGGCCTTATTGAGCATTTATTTTATTGTGTACATTGTTGTCATTGAGGCGACATTTTGTAATTATTTGTTTTCACATTCAGTGAACACATATCAGTCATAGTGTAATCTCTTATGCATTGTATCTCATATCAAGTGTTTGTGCGTTATATTGTGTTATGAAAAGTAATTACTAACCAATGAATCAAATTGATTCTAGTAAACAATTAATAAATATGCCATTTGTGTAAACAATGTTAGTACAGAAAGGTGAGAGCGCTATCACCATTCTGTATTATATTATTAAAATTAATAATTAATAAAATGTCGGAAATGGATTGGTTACTAAATCAAGACAATAATAATACATACGAAGACAATGATAGTGACATTTTTTCAAATCACACTGAAAACAGTGAACATGATAGCTTGTCTGAGATTGAATTGGACTCAGATTCAGAGCCAGTATACTATTCTGGAACCGATTCAGATGAAGATAATAATCATTTCAATTTGAGCCAAAACTTATCTCAACCGTCATCCGCGCAGTCATCTCAATCATTGGCTAAGACATCACAACATAATATTATACGCTTCCAAAGTGGACCAAGAATCACATCCACTGACTGTTCAGATGTTTTATCTACATTTAGACAATTTTTAACAGATGATATGTTAAAATTGATTGTAATCAATACCAATAATAAGATTTATAACAAAATCAATCCAAAAATTCAATTCCAAACGAAATGCCAGTCGTATGAACATAAGACCAACGACAGAGAAATCCTGGCCTGGATTGGATTGTCACTATTAATCGGAGTGCATAAATCTGCCCATGAAAATGCGGCCGATTTATGGGACACTAATGGTCGTGGCCGTGACATTTTCCGTGCGGTGATGCCATTGAGGCGTTTTCAGTTTCTCACAGCTCATGTGTGTTTCGATCACGAACCCTCAAGAGTTGCCCGAATTGCCGCCGGTGACAAACTGGCACTCTTTAGTGATATTTTCAATATTTTTCGTAAAAACTGTAAAAAAATTACGAATTATCTGAATTTGTGACAATTGATGAAATGTTAAGGGCATTCAGAGGTCGGTGTCCTTTCAAACAATATATGCCAAATAAACCGGCCAAATATGGGTTGAAATTGTTTCTCATATGTGATGCAAAAACAGCTTATTGTTGGGACGCAATGTTTTATACAGGAAAAGTTAATGGTAATAGAGCTCAAAATCTTGGAGCAAACATAGTTCTTGATATTACTAAACCATTGAGAGGTTCCGGGAGAAATATAACTTGTGATAATTGGTTCACAAGCTTTCCATTAGCTCAACAATTATTGATTCATAAATTGACAATTATTGGCACTTTAAAGAAAAATAAGAGAGAAATACCTAAAGAATTGATTGCTAAAAAGAAACGGCTGGTAAATTTTATGTTATAATATTTTCAATATATTAGTACAGCAGAGTGATAGCGCTCTCACTCTGCTGTACTGAGTTAAAAATAAAATTATATTTTTAAAATTCTAATTTTTTTTATTAACAGTTATTTCATACAGAATTTGTTCGCAATAATAATACATCATTATTAGCGTATTATCCAAAGAAGAATAAAACTGTATTACTTTTAAGCACAATGCATGACAATAATGCAATAAACCCATTAACACAAAAGCCAGAGATAATTGAAGACTATAATAAAACTAAAGGTGGCGTCGACACAATGGATCAATTGTGCTCAACATATTCATCGGGCAGACGTACAAAACGTTGGCCAACAGCAGCATTCTATGGAATTCTTGATATAATGGCTACAAATAGTTTCATTATTTATAGACACCATAATGTGAATTGTGATCCAAAGCCAGTTGAATCTTATAAACGCCGTGAATTTTTGCATACATTGGGAAAATGTCTGGCCGTCCCTGAAATGATTTCTCGTTTGAAAGTTCAGACTATAAGTCGGGATTTACGTAAAATAATTACCAATATCACACGGCCTTACGGTTCAACATCATTAATACAACCACCCGTATCGCACTCGTCAACACCTCTTCCTTCTGGATCTCAGCTCAAACGCCCGAATAATAGTAGTGAAGAAACCAAGAGGTGTTATTTATGTCCGAGAAAAGCAAATAAAATGTGTAGACTAAAATGTAAAGACTGTAATCAATATATCTGTAAAGACAATCATATGATAATGTATTGCACTACCTGTGATGGTAGGGATTATTTAGAAAATGAATAGAAATAAATAAAATATAATTGTATTGTACTTCAATGATATACAGAAATAAATGTTTATATGAATATCGTTTGTTCATTGAATTATATTCATTCAGGGTGATAGCGCTCTCACCCTGATATAATGCTTTTAAAAACATTGCCGCTTACTATACCTATCTAGTGCCCTAACATAAGGCCCGACAACATGGCTATTCATTCACAAAACTAAATGGCCAACCGGTGTTCATTGAAAGCTTAAACATAGCGCCGATAAATACGTACCCATTTATACATAAACACAATTGTAGGCACGTAATTTATGCGCACAACGTAGAGACACACTCTCTTACACATGCGTATTGTTTAACTAAAAATAGCTGCCACTGTGCACGATATGTTCCGTTAATAAATCCTGCCACGATGCACATAACGCTTACATAAATAATGCTGCCTATATGCACGCAACGTACTTTATTAACGATGCGGGTTAGGGGTTAAGCAAGTTGAGTATACTGTAATGTTAATCATATGGACTAATGCTAAGTTGGCCCAGGGCCATGGCCAGTCAAATATATGAAGAAAATCAAGTCTGCGGCAATCCTAATATTATGGGCTTATGTTATATTTAAGACAATGTTAAGCCTATGAGTAGTGGTAATCCATCTAATATTCATCGTTCTAATGGTCAAAATATTCCATTTTCTCAAAACAATTTTAATGTTTTATCAATTTCCCTCCAAAATTACGACATTTAGGGTCATAAAAACTAAAGTACTGGTCCAATTTTAATAATTCCTTTTTCATTGTACGCAGCAATTATTGCTTAACAAATTTTGTATTGAGACCATCTCTATAACTCGTTTAGTCTGAAAAATAACATAATAATTTGGAATGTATAGGTTATTGAGAAAACCACGTGACCCACATCGGGCGATAGGATATATAAAAATTCTGCGTCGCATGCTCTATTATAACCTTTTTACAGAATCTAAATATCTCTTATAGTTTAGGAGATATAACAAAAACGCGACGCGCAAGATTAATTGAACGCCTCTTTACATAAGCTAATTTTTCATTGTAGCGTGTTTGTGTTTACAACTGTTATAAAATAAATTTTATGCTACTATTAATACACAAATAAAATGCTTATTATTAAAAACGATGTTTATATTATTTATGTACAGTACATTTAATTAAATTCATGGAGTTTGTACACGACAGAGTGATAGCCAACATTAGAGTATTGTCAGCATTGAAAATTATTTGTTTGATAATATGCAATAAGTTGATGCTAATTTTGGTAGAAATTTGTAAAAATAGTTTCCACAGATAATTGTTCCGACTAGAAATTTCAATATAAAGTTCAATTATCCAATGTTTATGAAACATGAGTCGCGAAATTTTCAAGTTAACTAATAATTTGTTCTAATTATTAGTTAACATTGTTTGTATTTTATTAATTTAAATATTAATAATTATTAAATATTTTTATTAATGTACTTTATAATTAATTACATAAATTATCAGAATAATTAAGATTTAAGTTTATGATTTATGAGCATAGATTATAAATTAAATCAAGTTTAGTACAAAACATTATTCACATTGCATCATATACGTATAACAGTCACTCTAGCTATGATAGTGAAATTGCAAATGCAATAATTATTTTTTAATAAACATCTGTCAAAAATCTGGTATAAAATATAATTTATTTAATTGTTAATTATAAATTTTTTTATTGTTAGTGAGATATAAAATGTTTCTGGATTAACTTTAATTGTTTGATTGAATCTAGCTAACAGCACATTAATTTAAAATGTTTCTCATAAAATATACATTATTGGTTATCTTGATAAAACTGGTCAAATCAAACCAAACCAGCAGGTATTACACATTTATATGTAATTAATTTATGTTTATTAATTCTGACCATGTTAATTAATAATTATTTTGATTTAGTATTGTGTCAGAAACAGCACAAGTTTCTAACAATAGGTCCATAAGTCCTGTTTCTACAGATCGCTCGATAATGTCTGTCACTACTGATCGGCCCATAAGTATTAGTACTAATACTTCGGGCAAAACATTAAGTGATCGACTGTTGGAGCCGTTGATGGACTCATTGCCGCAACTGTTTGTCGAGGACTACGTCCAGGAAATACTAATGACGGGAGAAATGAGTGCCGAAAACATACGATACGGACAGAAGTACTGGAAGAGAACCAAACACGTGATGCTCAGTGAGTAGTGGTGTCCATAAAACCAGATAAATATATACACGTATATCAAAGGGGTGGGAGGGGGAAGTGGAAGGGGGCATTGAATATATACTTTAGTTGGTTATGCATAATTTGGAATAGTTATTCTAATAGTATATCGCTCACTTACTTAATGTTTACTTCACTATTAAGTAAAATAACATTTGGGCATGATGAATTTTGTATATAAATAAAGTGATAACAAAAAATAAATTATTTTAATCAATATTTTTTTGTTTGTCACCCATTCATACGCAGCGCGTTTAGAAATGCTAAAACGTGCGCTAACTGTGGCCACCAATGATAACGAGCGCCAATTTCTGGACCGAGTTGTGTTAGGAATGGGCAAAAAACTGGGCAAATATTTGGACAATTTTGAATACTTATTGGGCGGCATTAGCGACGATATACTAATGCACGCGCCCACCGATACGCTCATAAAGAACCATCTAGTACTTTGGCGCGAAATGAGACGTGGTTCATTCGTACGCATGATGGCCACCGATTTGGTGCCCCTCTGGCATATATTACAGCTCCGGAAGTATCTGACACGTCAGCCCCGATACAGCCTAAGCCCGTTGGCTAACTATTTACTGTATACGGACTTTAATATCGTAGGAGTGTTCAACTTTTACAAGAGTGTCATTGACTCACACGCGGCAAATATGACAGCCGCCGAAGAGCTCGAGCTGTTCCAACTTACCAATGAAATGAATGAACTCGATCTCAAATTTCATATAAGTACGTAACTGTGGTATACAAAGTGTACGCGATATTTTACCTCATATTTACATAAACGTAATGCTGCATTAGAATAGGTAAAGTATCGCATGCACGTTGTTTTTATATAATTTTACATTCATGGTATTTTACATTACCATAATGTAGTAATAAAGTTTAAATATTGACACATGTTTATATGCAGTGCCTATCCTTCCGAATGACAAGACATTATGCGATCGAGTGTTTGAGTCATTAGAGGACGCGATGGCAAAGATGTATAAAACAGATTACGTTCAGAAAGTATTAATGAACGGAACAATGACTCCGGAAAATATACGCTTTGGTCGCAACTACTGGAAGAGATATAAAGATTTTCTTACGAGTGAGTAGTATATTAATTCACATTTGTATGGTGGCGATGGGCTAACATTATTTTTATATAAAAATTAAACCAAAATCATCTCTCTCTCTCTCTCTCTCTCTCTCTCTCTCT